CCCCAAAACCCCAAAACCCCAAAACCCCAAAACCCCAACAGGGAGATAATAAATTGAAGTCTAAATAAATATGTTCAATCAGCATATAATTCCTCCGATTTCAAGTACGCCTAAAATTGGGAGGAATAGCAATATGAATCAGACCGGACCTCAGAGGAGAACTCAGAGTACTTTTGGTATGCCCATTTTTGTATTTACTCTTTGTTCATACGGAAACCCTTCTAATTGTTTATCATAGGGATGCGGACTGGAAATCTATCAACGGCTTCAAATGAATTCTTGGTAATCAGTAAAGTGAAGCAAAAAGCAGAGGCGAAAAAGTTCCTTGAAACACTTAAAAACTCTAAAGATAACAAGTAAATCTCTCTTAAAATCATAATCAATTATTTGAAGAAGCAACGTAGCTTGGAACCCTTATTTGTACTATAATCTCTAAAAATAGGGAAAACTATTACCCAGTTTTTCCTGATTCCGAGTTATGCATATCCTAGTGTAGTAAATGTTTCTTTGGTTGTTAGTAGATATCTGATGGAAATTATAGCCCCGGCATCAAAGAAGTCCCACATGATACATATCTCATGAAAATACGGTATGACCGTGAAGGAAAACCAATCCAGCGAACCATTGTTGGAACAATGGACCAATACGAAAAGCCTAAAAAGAAGAGGCAAGAGCGAGGATTTTCTCTCAAAAGAATTAGAGATGAATTCATCGTGAAGTAATTTCTCATTCTCCAGCTTTAACCCTCTATAGACCTCTGATAAAGCCACAAGTTTTAAATAAAATGAAATATATGAATTCTAAAGTGACTTTTGATCCTACTTTTGGACAGAAGAAGTCTCAAAGTTCTCTCATAGATGAGAGATTTAAGACAATTACAGTCCCTAAGGGAGGAGATAAATTCAAAACAGTCTATGGGAAGAAATTCACAAATCAAGATCTTGACAACTTCATAAATGATTACAAAAATAGAAAGCCTGAAGAAGAAGACCTTTCTGAACTATATTCAAGCGTTTTCCATACTTCTCTGAGTTCCATAGAAAGTTTGAAAAATGCTCCCAAAGAGTTCCTCCACTGGAAGGACAAAGACAGCAGGTTCTTGAGGAATTACGAAACACAGAGGAAAAATTGGAAGTAAAAAGACTATTTCCTTAGGTAAGAAAATTAAAGCAAAGTCCCCATGAGAAAGCCTCATGAGAAAATCAGATACTTTTGCTGAAGAGCAACTTATCAAAACTGGAGGTCTCGAAACTGAGAAGAATTATTATAAAAGTATGAATAACTGGTATGCAAGTCTACGGAAGAGCAATAAGGAAGAAACCAGACATAGTAATTTCATCCAAAAAGCTAAAGGTATTATAAGCATAATTGTGTAGGTCGAGATCCGATATATGTTCATGAGACCTGCCATTTCAGGGACCTGAATATAATCAAGAGGCCAAAGGAGTTAGATCTCTTTGAAGAACATGAATCCCTGCCTCGGTGTTACAAACATATGAATATCAATAATCAATCCATAAAGACTTTAGAAAGAATCAACTCAGTCGGAAAGCTAATGGTGCAAGGATTTAACAAATTTGATAGAGAAATGGAGTATGTTAAGAGGATTCCTGAAGAAGAGCGGTTCATTGTTGATAACTTTGTTCATGAGAATACGGCTGAAGAGCAGTAAAGTTCTGGAATAATTGAATAGTTTCAAGCGTGAGATTTAGGGTTGGGGTTTTGGGGTTTTGGGGTTTTGGGGTTTTGGGG